AGTGGGTATTTCCCTGCAGCTGGGTTGGGTATCTGGCAGCCCACCAAGGCCAACCCACCACAGCTTCAGAGTGAAGGACAAGGTCAGACCAGTTGGCACCACACGGAGAACCAACCACCGGCTGGAGGCATGCTCAGTGGCTGCTGGCATGGGACTCCTGAGGCAGCAGGAGAGCATACCCCTTCAGAACTTCCAACATCAGATGCTCAGCGCGGACTGTCATCATGTGCCAGGGAGCCCATCAACCGCGCACACGGATCACAGGCATCAGGGGACACGCCAACCCTGAACCCAGGTGATCTGGAGGGCACAGCCACGCTGCAGGCCTGGACCTCTGCTACTGCCGCTCGCTTGGCTTTACTTCCACAAGAACTTGGCAGACAGTGCATCCACCAAGGTCAGCACTGCCCACGAGACATGGGTACGCATACCCTGTCCTCAACAACTTTCTGAAGGAACACCACAGAAATTCATCACACAGTTTACTGAATTTTGCCATCCTTGATGAAGGGAGCCCCGAGGACTGCACAAAGAAACTGCCTTCATGGCATGACGGGCTGCTGTCTGCAGTCTTTGGCACATTGTCCTGACACGAAGAGCAAGCAATTATTAAGTGTGCTTGCTTAACTGATACTGATTTCACATATTTACTCATCTATAATCATGTCTATTTCTACTTAGTTTATATTTACATATAGCTGTGTTTATTCACCTCTCATCTATTTCACTGAAATGTTAATTTACTGTTCGGGCTGCCAGTGATTGCAGTGTGATTGACTGTTGTGCTATGCAGTGTGCTGAGCTGATGTCTTGTATTGCATTTCGGCAGTTGATTTGTTCTTTTGATTTGCTGTTATTTACTCTGTGATCTTAGTAAAATAGTGCAAATTTTTCAAATGACAACTACAACAGAACCCAAAAAACTTTTGTTCTTGAAGAATACAGTGCAATTCTCTCTCTCGCTGTACACCTACTCTCCAGCGTGTACACTGAGGACTTACTTTATTTTTGTACATTTAAAAAAAAAAAATCAATACTATTAAAAACCAGAACAAAAAGAAAATGAATGTTCACGGGCAGTAGAACCTAAAAAACCTGCTGCCTTGTTCAGCTTGAATTTACATTGTTGTAATGAATCTTTTTCCCCTGCACATCTAATTGAGCAACACTGATTTCTGGAAACCATCTAAATCCACTGAGACCGGTCACAAAAGCGTATCTGTATATAAACCAAATTCTCACACAGTCTGGGAACGGGTATTTCTACAAAGCTATTTTAAACATTTGTATGCCCTGAAGTTTGGAAATGGAAGGAAAGGACTAATTAAGCAAACCTAAAATCCTGAGTCCTGGCCCCAGGACAATAGTCAGGCATGGGCATTCATATTTTTATACTAATTGGTAACTGTTACAGCAAATCCCCAAACTTATCTCAGCGAGAGCTAACAGAAGTGCGACGCATCATCCATGAAAATCTTGGTGCCTGTGGAAAATGCATGTTCAGTGGAGTAGACTACCCCCACACCTCCTTTCCAACCCACACCTCTATAACTCTACTGTGCAGAGGAGGCTGCCATGGGACAGATCACTAATTACCTCCAAAAGGCAATAGCAACAACCAACAGGAATAGGGCCAGGTGATGGTCCAAGCAGCCTTTTTTAACCTGGTTTGAGTGCTTGCACTCCTAGGGTAGCCCTAAAAAAACAACCAGGAAGACATACGGATGTACTGAAAAGACAGTATTTAACCAATGACTTAGTCCTTCACTTTTTCCCCTGTTAAATTTAAAAAGACCAGTCTTGCCAGAAGATCATGCACATGTCAACTCTTTGTTTTTCAAATAAACCACGAATAAATATGAGGAGCTGTTTTCTGAGTGAAATCCTGTCTTCTCCCTGATGACTTCAAGACCAGGCAAAGCTGAAGGGTTTTTACTGAAAGTCTGAATCAGATCCCAAAGGCAAATCTATGAAATACAACCTTGAGAGAGAACCTCCTGAGCAAGTCTTGCGTGACAGCAGGAGAGGTGCTGGATGGCCGTGTGCTCTTCACACCCACCTTCGCTTACTCTCCCGCGTGGACCGAAAACTCCAGGCTGGTGTATTTGCCACTGATAACCCGTAAGTCCCAAACAACTCCAGCCTCTCTGCTCAGTGTCAGATCCCTGGAGCATGTTCAGTCCTCACCCTCTAAACTAATTCTTGCTCCCCACTTCATAACCAAGTTCCCATTACACCGGGAGTGGAAGTTACTGCTATCATCATTTCTACTGACTCATAAGCTTCAGGCAGGAGAATGGGAAAACTTTTACCTTCTTGGCTAAATTTTTTCCTTTTTGGTCTTCGCTCAAAACTAAATTATTCGAGAGCTTATGGGAACAACACAGTTCTGAGGAGGAAGACCGTGAAAAATAAGAGTATTTTCTTACAAGAGAAAGAAACAGGCTTCATCTTATTTGGCTGGGGGCTGAAAAATAACAACTTGCTCAGACATGCTCTCCATTGAGAAACTTTAAAAAAAAAATTCTTTTCAGAAGAAAAGGACTTTCACAGTTGATAGTGTTGAAAAGTCACTTGCTGAGCAAGCACAGATTCCTGATAATCCCATAAAGTGAATCACAAGGAGGGCCTCATGGTGTGTCAGGGATGCCAGCAGAGACTTAGGCACACACGAGCGTACTTCACTATGCTGGCCAACAGTCCCAGGCTGAGCTCGGGCGTGCGATGCTTTCAGAAGAGATGCTCCCTTGAACTGCATTCATGAGGCCCACAAGAACATGGGTACAGAAACCCGGAGAGAAACACAAGCAGACAAGTTCAGCATACAAGTTAACAGCAGGGCTGTTGTCTGCCCTCCCAGCAAAAGCACACGTGATGGGTTTGGGAGGGGACCCTGAAGCCCTCAAAGGCAGAATCCCTGTCTACTGGAGAGCCACTGACACAGCAGGACAGCTCGGAGGGAGACAGTCTGCCATCTCACCCATGTTTTATATACAAAATCCCTGTTGCTCTTTGCTATTCTAGATACTTTGCTTGTTGTGAAACAACTGTTATAAATTTAAAAAAAAAAAAGATCTCAGCAGCTATTTAAAAATTTACCCTACCAAACATTTGTAGCAGAGTGGTAACATTTCAGTTCTCCTATTCAGGTTTCCCTTTCTTCATCAGAGCAGTTCAGAATCACACCATCACACGTATTCTTTTTAGGCTGTGCAGCTTCCCAGTGAACCCAAAGGACTTTCCCAGGGAGAAAACTCTGTTTTGCCAGATTTCCTTCAAGGCCGAGGCACAGAGGCGCAGCTTCCCTCCAACTTGGCAAGGTGTCTTTTATGTGAACCATGGTCTGTGAGAAGTAACATATGATCTGCATTACCTGACTTGAATACCAGCCAGAGCCTTGAAAAATGACGCTGGGTCATGTATATTTAGCACAGATTCTTGTACTTTGCTACACGTTAAGCACACACTAGTCACACAAAAGATGCTTCCTTCTAATTTTGTAAAAGCCAAAAAATTTCTGAAACATAGTACATGCCAACATAAATATGCTTTATATACCCAAATATGAACTTACTCTCTTTCAAAAGACCCATCATTTGATGGTTTCTTAAAATAGATGGGAAAATTAAATTGAATCCTGATGCCTTTCCAATATTTATCACCCACATCAAATATACTTCATCCAAAAATTTTAAATCAGAAACTGGCAATCACGCTGCTCCTCCTGTTCTTGTGGATGCTGTTTTTCTGAAGAGTTGCACACAGGTTTGAGAAAAATGAATTATTAAACACATGTCTGCAATTAAGTGTTCTATGAACACTCACCTGCTGCGAGAGATTTTAAAGAAAAATATCTCTGTCATGCTACAAGTGCCCACTGTTCTAAATAGAAAAGCAGCCAAAAATAAGACTGGCATTGTAGGAGACGGGAGCTTTTATTTTTATCTGAAAGCTTTTATGACTTAGGCTAAATTACTATTGAAAGTAGTCTCCTTTGTGAAAGAAAAACATTACAGTTGTGATATGAGATGAACGAGATAAGCACATACAATAGGCATACATGGGTCACCTTATTTAGGTGCCTGGGCTAAACGAGTTAAAAGAAGTTATCGACACAAGCAGGAAAAGATCATAATGGGAATAGATCTTGAGCCTGGGAATCGTGAAATTCAGGTTTAAATGCCTGCCCTTAACCTTCCCTGTCACATATGCCAAGGCAAAACTGTGCCTCAGCTTCCAATGTACAACTTGCCTGCTGTCAGGACGAATATGCAAAAAACAGTGATGTGGCTAAGTTGTTGCAACCCCGGCAAGAAACCATGGATGACACAGACCTTCCCATGTTCACGACTGACTGTGAAGTGGAAATACATTGGTCTGGAAGACAAAGGTAGCCCATTCTCGCACACACAGCAAGGGTATTTCTCAGTTTCCTTTACGTTCTTGGATGACTGGTACCTGTGCATGGACAGATGCCTGCTGGAAGGATACTCTGGTGAAACCTACTCTATGATTTCTCTCCCAAGCATCTCCTGCCAGGCAGGAGGTAAACCAGTGGGCTCTCCAGCTATCCTTATGTTTAATATCCTTACGTTTTCCTTTCAATATACCCAGCATCACCTAAACATGCTTCTTGTCCCTTTGTGATCATTAGGAATATTGTTTGACAAAATACAATTTTTCAAACTTGCACTCTGAATTCTTGTATAAATTACAAGCAGGAAGAGCCCGTTTGAGCCTTGTAATAACATTTCTTTAACAATAGCTTACTAAAGCGTCAGTGGGGCTCGGTGATCACAATGCTAATTCATTACTTTTTTCTCCTATTTCAGTTTTATTTCGCTAAGATGACAGCACTTTGTAAATGAAACTTTTGTCCTTTATTGCTCGGTGCAAGGTACTTATTAAATAAATGCAAATATCTATATAGTGGCGTGTTGCATGCTCAGATACATACACAATTTCCTTTTTATCCAGTGAATGGATCATAACCCTCTCTCTCACACACTTAAAAAAACACTTAACTGCATCCCAATCACAGAAAATGGCATTCCAAATTCAACACATTCCTCAGATTGCTCTGAATTACAGGTTACCTAATGCTACCTGCGCATCCTCCTCTCGTCTTATCATCTTATTGTTATTAGGTTTTAATGCTTAAGAGATTCCCAACAGCTAGGACAAATGATTCTGCTGTTTCAATCCAATTTTAGTGGTTGAGTTTTCCAGCTCCAAGTGTGGTTGTCCGTGATAATCAAATCTACAAGCATTATCTCAAAGCAGGCTGCATTTCTCCTCACCTTCATCTCCCGACTTCCACACAGTTGCGCACAGGTACCTTCCGAGTTCGTACGCAATGAAATCAAGCACATGATCAATATACAGATCTCTAAGAAGGTGATACTTCAACATGTTCAATGACCTCTGTCACTCTCCGCAGAAAAACTACATTACAAAAATAACAAAAGCAGTCACCCAGCAGAGGCTGTGATGCTCCCTCAACACCCCCAGGAAATACGGGGATGTAAGACGCAAGGTGCTCGTTTTCAGCAGGCAACACCCGCTCTGCTTTGTTTATGTGGAGAAATTTTAATTGAGGAGAAAGCAAGGGTACATGTTAGGTCAAATGTATAATTCAATCAGTGTTTATAATGACATGAGAGCAGAAATTCTTACAATCTGATTCCCGCCTCTCCCCTGTCTCAGCAAACAGGGGCTGCTCACAATTGCTGAAGGCTCTTTGCTCACCATAAGCCCAGCCCACAGGCAGAGCCTTGGACAGGACTGGGGCATCTCTGCAGACACATGGGTGGGAATCCCCACACCCAGACTGCCGTTTCCAAGGCCTCTTTTCCCTTTTGCTAATACAGGATTTAAACTTATGAAATTTGATATAAAACATTACATAGTATTGAAATCAAAATTGAATATTTTTAGAATTTCTTTGTAAAGAAACATCTTGAAACCTCACGTGTCCGGTGTACTTCTGGTCGGTGTCTGGATGGTTACACATAAACCAGCCCTGCACCAGTAGAAACCGGCTGTCCACTGTTAAATGCTGATGTTTGGAGAAACTTGCTTATTCCACAGAAATACGGGTTAAAAGCCGTTAGTTCACTCAAGTGTTAAGGCCACAATTACTGGATATTAATAAACTACAGCAACAGCCTGTCATCACAGTATTGCACTTCAGTAAATTTCTAATTCCGTCTCTTTATGAATCATGGAAAACATTGAAAGAGTTTAAAAGCCTAAAATTAACTGACATGATAGTGAAACAGAATTGTGTCAGTCAACCATCACACAAGGATGCTGTGCAAGTCACTCAGCGGCGCTGAACGTTCTGAGTGCTGACTTACTTGTGGAGAGTTTCAGGCAGGGAACCCGGACCTTAACACAACGGGGAGGTGCTTTCTCTTCGTATCGTTATCTGCAGGGTGCCTACAGATTTTGCACACAGGGTGGCAAATTCTCTCCATTATTTTTCAAGGCTGTTGTAATTGCAATGTCTTTCTCAAAGCGCCTGGCTGGCTATCCGTGCGAGCTGCTTTACATTTTAGTAAGAAAATCCCTAACTCTGGCTAATCCCTGCGCTGTGATTGACTCTTGTCCATGGGGTTTTTTTGTAATTTTTTGTGTGCCAGGAAAGGGAGGGGGTGGGAGGTGGAAATCGACCTCTCTACCATGACACCATTCTTACAACTGCTTCCAATAACTGAAATAACACGTAACTAGAAAATGAAAAATATGCCAAGAAGCACAAAGCACTCCTGCATATGACTGAAGAATACTGATTAAAAACAAAGCAGAAAAACATCCTTCCAGAACCTGAGGTCGTCTTCATTTCCCCTCCTCTGCTTTTACATTTCCCTAGAGCATCCGCAGCCTGTGTGTGCAGCTTGGATAGATCTTGGGAAAAAGCCAGACCCCTGTATATGGGTTTAGCTTGTGATTCTAACTCGCCAGTGTTTATACTAAGTATTATACAGAGCAGAAAAACAAGGAAGAGCAGAGAAGCGCTGCTCTAACTGCAGGCCTTCCAGCAACCTCACAGAATGGCTTTCTGCTTTGCTTTAATTTAAAATTGAAACCTGAAGTCAAATTTCCACCTGGTAATAGCTTAAAGGCACTTCCAATTAACTTGGTAATACACACTTTCTGAGTTAATAAATTTTTCAGCCTCTATGTTTAATACAATTAAACATTAGGGCCTTTGGCCTTAGACCTTATTTAGCTTGAGAAAGGATTGCAAGTAGACTGCCTCCAATTATCACCATTTACACAACATTCACTTAAGGGCTTTCAAATGCACACATATAGAACGTTCATTTAATCGTAGACCAAATTCAGTACCTGAACTCAGGTCTCCTCTCTCCTCTACAGAATTCCTATAATGGACAAGACGATCATAACGCCAGCTACTGGGCCCTGAAAACAGCCATCACTGCTCTGCCCCAGGCAGCACGGAATAGCCGTGCCTGCTCCAAGGAACTTACTTTTCCTTCCAAATCTGCATTTTGTTATTTGCAAATTTCTTCAAAACTTCAAAGTTAATAAAGTGTAATGCACAGCGTAAAGAACCTGGAAGATATGCAGGGCCAAGAACGACAGACAGAACTGAAATCTTGTGCTTGAAAAAACATGAAAATTAATTTTGCCAGCATGCCTACCACATTAAACACCATATTCTTTTACACAAAAGGATTAAAAGGTTTTAATCCCTCTTTGCAAGCAGCTAGTTCTTGATTCAGCAGTTCAAAAGGCTTTGCCAAGCTCAGGTTTTTCCTCTGCTTTTAAGAATTAAAAGCGAGCGTAAAACTTATTTTGTAAACAGAGAGCATAGTAACACAATTTTAATAGAACTGGGAGCCAGAGTACGCGACCTCTTCAGAATATCTGTTACTAAAGCAAAGGCATCGCGGGCTCTCAGGAAGGGACCTGCATTTCATTTTAATGCCCCTGTACGTTGTTCTGTCCTCCCCTAGTAACGAACCACATTTTTGCCTCATCTACCTGGCGAGGAGGAAAACTTTCTGCCTAACGACAAGGAGTGCACTGTGGCTCTTCAGTTACACCCATGGGCTTTGGGTTTTTTCCCCCCTATTTGTATCAACTGTTTTATCATGCAGAATCCATAGTACATGCAGAAAAACAAGAAATATAATTTCCACATTTAAATGCTTACCAGAGTGTAAAAAATTTCAGCAGATAGCTAAGCACAAGAGCAAAATACTCCAGTTGGGGAGGGGAGGGGGAAGTTACTTGTTTTTGATCAATTTTACTTGAAATTCCCCAAGGAATATTTCCCCATTACAAGGTTTCCTCCAAGTCAGACACCTCGATAAGCCTGGATGGAGAGGTTCAAGGCTTCTGGGAGACACCAGGCAGCATTTCTTTCCCCATAACGATGCATTTTATCAGTTGCTAAATGAAGGTAGAGAGTCACGGGCACCTCAAAAGCCATTCGAGCAGAGTTTCGATGTTGGGGCTACCACCTCCGCCTGGCAGCAGGACTGCTGAGCAATTCCGATCCCCACAGCAGAAAGACAAGAACCAAAAGGGATTGCTGAGGCCACGCTACACAGCACCCGGCTGCACGCTGACCTTGGTGCAATCAGTGGGGGAGCTAGCGAAGCTCGGGGAGACGCCGTCTCCTGTCCATGAACTGCCCCAGAGTTTTCCCAAAACGGCTCTGTATGTGTGTGGAAAATATCTGACTCCATCCCATGAATATTGGGTGTCCAAACCCCACAATAAATGACTGACACATGCCAGGGGTGTGCAGTTTTACAGTCGCTGAAATCCAGCCCTGCTCCATGCAGAAAGCGTCATATCCCAGGGGGTGCCCAGCCCCCTCCTCCACAATGGGCTTTCTGGTTCAGTTAGGGCTGGCTTTTAGAAAGGCATCAAAATTAATCACTTTCATGGTTTCCGCATTGTTAATTTAATTTTTCTAGCATCCATTCCTTGCTGTGTTAGGAATTTAACAGATAAAATGAAAAGCTCTTTTCCCTTTAGTAATGTTTCTCTGTGTAGATGATCAGGTCAGCTGATCCAAACTCAACTCCCTAAATCTCCAGCTACCAGGCATGGTTCCAGATATGATTTTTTTGTGGCCTTTTACCTGCACCAACCTGCACATGATTTCACGTGATTACGCACAGAGTTGCAAGAGATGCAGAAAGCGGCAGTCCAGCAGAGAAGTTACCGTCTGCCGCGCTGTGAAGAGACACTGTGGCCACCAGGTCTACTCTGAAGCCCAGAACACAATGCACAGGGGCCGCAAGGGGCTGAATTTGAATTTCCAGAGCTGGCCCGGGCCTTGGGTACAGGATAGAGTATGGCCTAAGAGGAAAGGCTGCGTGCAGGACCTGCGGGCACTTGGTGCGCGGGGCCGCTGGGAAACCAGCGGCACTGTTACTTCATGGGCTGCACGGCAGTGTGCAGCTCTGAAGGGATTGAATCTCTCTACGAGGAGATATTTCTTCTGTGTCATGAATTATCTCTTTCTTCAGCACCTCTGACAATATCTGAGTCTCTGGGAAGAGGGAAAACCAGTTAATGTCACCGTTGCAGCAGGTATCTTAGCAAGGCAGCACAGATATTCCACCAAGGAGGTGGCATTTGAGACAGTGTATTTTATCCTCACAAAGCCAGAAACACTGCCTGCCACCCAGAACAAACTTCCCTGGTTAAAAGCACCACAAGTACAACCCACACTGGTTTAGGAGGACACGTTCCTTGCTCAACACGAAGCTCTGCTGCAGGTCATGGACCCTACTGAGACATCAACTCCTGCAGTAGCGGGTGGGACATGGGCAGACCAAACTCCAACAGAAAGTGGTGGCAGTTCCGGAATTACAGCACACGACCCAAACCAAAGAACCAGGCATCCCTGACACGGGCTTTCAGGCTGGGTGCCCTTCAGCAGCTGCCTTCCCCGTGACGACCTTACTGCTGAGGTCACACTCAGTGCCAAGAGCCACATGGGCTGGCACAGCGCCTCCAGAGTAACGTTCACCAAGCTGGCATGAAGCAGGAGCTCAGTACAAAGACTGGGAATGTCTATGAACAACGAAAAGCATCCAGTAGCTCCTGTTATTTTTCTCCTTGTATTTTCCCCCATGCATCTTATGTCAAGTACATGCTTTATATTTTAGTCATAGCCTACTCACAAAGAGTTCTGGATTATCCCTCAACCCAGACCTCCAGCACCTTCTTCCATGTTTCTCCTCACATCAGCAAGTCCCAATTTCATGCAAGATTCACACGATCGCAGTGGGTAACCAGGAATTGTGAGTGGCTGTTCCACTGCTGACTCCTTGCCATACATTCACCTGGATATGCCCATCAGCGGAAAAGCCAGAACTGGCGATACCAGCCCTCACACTGACTTTTGCAGCCTGGAAAGA